TAACATAGTTTACTACACTGGAATGCTATTTGGAATCTCGCAGACTTCTTCAGTGAGGAGCTCGCTGACGCTGGTTGTGAATCTTGATTGCCATGTGAAGATAGGTCCGCTGAAACGGGATTTTCCTTCTTCTCCAAAGATGAGTTTTGAGTTGGACTTGATGGTTTTGCTTCACATTGGAAGCAAGCTGGAGGAGCCATCATGGATCCGAAAGTTTTAATGAGTGTTTGCATAGAACATTTGAAAATAACTACGAGATCTCCATACTCTTGTCGAACACCAATGCTCCCGTCGAGAAAATCATGCTTTTCAGCATCCATTATCAAAATCGTATGACCGATTAATGCATCGTTAAATGAGAAAGTAGGTGGAGTTTTGTCTTCCTCGAGATAAAAATGAATTGTAACCTTCTCATCGAATCGGGTACGAATTGTTAACTTAGGACGAATGAAATAGTTAACTTCTTCGATTTCTCCCATCAAACACCAATGACGAATTTGTTTAATAGAACCCTTAATCAATCGCCAGTAAGGTTTACATGGCTCATCCTCGTGACACACAGCATTAAAAGATGGACAGTCAACGTGATTATCCAACTTGTTGATATTAGGACAATAATCAAACCCGGGTTGTCGACCGTTATGTTTGATAATGGCTTTTATGTCACCAAAACCACAGGAGCATGGTTTAATTGGATCATCTGTCGCCCGCCTAAACATCTTAATTCACGTTACAATCAATTGAAGAAGAGGGATAGTTGCGAAATCGTTTAAACTAAAAGGAAAAATAGTTACAATTTAAATATTATCAAAATCGGTGCATGTCATCATATCTGGCTGATCTCCTTAAAAAAACTTAAATTCGTTCTCATGACCCAACCAGTCTGAAATTTCAATAACGATGAAGACTCATAAGAAAGATTCAAAGAACGACTTTCAAACTTTTTCCATTTCACACAGTACTATTTATTCAAATGGCGAAAAAAGATAAAGAAAGAATCTACGATAATGTTTTATCCAACGGGTGAGTGCTGCACCTGCGCACCGGTTTCTGTGTGAGGTGCTGAAAAAGTGAGACGGGTACAGCAGGTGTTGGAAAGTTGTAATAGGTGCGATGGGTGCTGCAGATGCGGGAAAGGTGCAATGAGGTATTTGTAATTTCTGCTAACGCCACTAACACAACTTTTCAAAATGCAACAAAACTTCCACTTACTAAAACCTACATTTTGACGAGTTATGCTCACAAACAGCCACTTTCTACTTGTCTTAGATAAAATACATGGTCGGTACACATCTTAAAATCACTCCCATCCACGCTAACATCAGGATCGGTCTTACGCTCATGAAAAACGTCGCAACTTCCCATTACTAACACCCATGGTGAGAGTCTCGAGAATTCGGATGATTTCATCCACACCACATCCTCACCATCGCTGTCCTACTGTCACCGTATGTGAGAACGATAAAGGATACGTTTATATTTCTTGTTATATTTTTGTACCATTATTAGAAGGCACATTTGATGCAAAGAGGAAAAGCTCCATATTTGGTTCATGCATAGGATATCCATGTATTCGTACAATCTGTGCTCGAAAAAAATCACTTTACGATAAAATACAGATAACAATTTTTGGTACATATTTTGCAAAGGATATATCTACATAATGTCATAGAGTAAAATCTGTTGCATTTGGATCTCCTGTTTAACTGTTATACAATTGTCTTATTCCTAAATACAGCTCCAAAAAGAATTAAATATCAAGTTATTGCAACTTACCTTATGAGCGATAACTTTTTTGATATGTTTTAATTGTTTTAAAACTTTCTTGACATTGAATCAAAATTTAGCGCTATATATACTGAAACAGAACCTGAACTGGGAAAAAACCCAAAGAACAAAAAAAATGAAACCAATCATCACCGAATTAGTATTGTTAAAGAGATGTCACTAAATTCCAGCAACTAACGAGATATACTCAAGATTCAGAAATTCGCCAATCAAAGAAAATCAAGAAAATCAATAGATTTAAGCAATTCTAGAAAAAATAGAAAATTCTGAGAAAAGGGTGTGGGTGTGGGTGTGGGTGTGGGTGTGGGTGTGGGTGTGGGTGTGGGTGTGGGTGTGGGTGTGGGTGTGGGTGTTAGTAATGGGAAGTTGCGACGTTTTTCA